TAATCGATGATGTCCTATCTTTTGTAGGCTCTGTAGGAAACTCAATTTCTGTCTTGAATTAATGGAGGCTGTCACGGTAAATACTAATGCTTCAGATGTTGGAGGTGGCACTTGTGAGTACTTCCGTTCTTTGTGCCAACAATCATTTCCGGGTCCATTGGTTGGTGGCAATGCCGGAAGCAAGGAAGTGAATAAGTGGATTGATGAGAGAATTGCAAACTGCGAATCTTCTGACATAGATTATAAGAAACGGGAAGTTATGAGGTTGCTATTCTCTTTGCTTAAAATAGCATGTCAGCATTATGGAAAGCTCCGATCTCCTTTTGGCAGTGACTCTACACTGAGGGTAAATCACAAGTTTCTTTTTTTCATGCTAAACTTTCTGCCGGTTGATGACCTACTTTTCCGTTTACTGTAATTATAGCTTTTTTTGAAAAAATAAATTACTGTAATTATAAAGTTTACCAAATGCCCTTGTGTGTTTTCTTTTGTTTGAAATCTCTTTCATTCAAACCTTTTTGATTCTTCAGATGCTTTATGCCCCTTATGTTGCGCCCTCGTTTGATTGTCCCTTTGCACCCATATGCTTTTCATTTGTTGCAGATATGCTTCTAAATCTGAATATCAGTATAAAATATTAAAACTCAGTGTGCAGTTCTTTGTTAACTCATTCTACTCAAAGGAATCTCGGAGAAAACTTATGAGCTAAACAAACAAAGAAGACTAAAAACAATATTTGATCTTTTGTTTTCTCAAACTCCTTTTTCTTAATGATGGAAATTTTTGAGTCCATATTGTAATTAATATTTGAACCAGATGGAAGAGGAAGCTGTTCCTAGAATGAGAGCCATTCTTTTTTTATTATACAAGTTACAAGGGAAGTTTTTTCCTGTGGAAGAAAAGATTATTAACATTGTATTGCAAGTGCTCTGTTATAATAGAAAGCATGGGATATCCAACATGTATGTTTTCAAGAAGGTTTAGCTGATAGGAGGGCGGAGGAGTCTTGTAATCGTATCTTGCTTCGGTGCCCATTTGCATACCAGTTATGGAGCATGACATATTGGTTATTAGGGATTAGTGGGGTAATGTCTGTACTGTAAGGGATGAGATTTAGGCCTGAAAGAGTATTATTGATGGGAAGAAACATGTATGTTTCATTCTCCTTCTTATATTTTGGGTGGTGTAGAAAGAAAGAAATAGGAGAGGTTTTAAGAGGGTGGAATATGATTGCAATATGGTTAGACATAGATGTTTCCAGACCTTGGGTTTTTTGGTTGTGGGTCGTCCTCTGTATCCAATGGAAGATTTTGAGACCTTATTGACATCTTGATTGACCTGTAAATACTTTTATATATAGGTTGGCTACCCCCTTGGTGCTTGTAATTCATGATACATATCACACTTTTTATTTTCAAAAATAAAAAGAAGGTGGTGTAGCTGATATTTCCTTTTCCAGTAGTAGTTTCTAGGAACTTTTTTTTTTATCAAAGTTTCATTTTATTTTTTATTCTATAGTTCAAGAATCCAGATATCAGTTCATACTTCTTCACTGCTTGTATTATTCGTCAAAAGGTGACTCTGGGTGATGCTTGGATGTTAAGAGCCTTTTTGTGGTGAGACTTGTATTTTTCTTTGGTTCAAGGCTTAGTTTTCATTTACTAGCTCTGGTTTGCATCTATAACTGGTAGGAGCTTTGCAGAAGTCTTGACAGAAACAATCAGTCTTTCATTCTATACTCTTCTTTGTTTTGCATCAGGAGAGCGATACCCCAGAATCAGCAGTTGCTAAACTATTTGCATCTGCCAAGAAGGATGGCAGACAATATAATGCATACAGTGCTCTTGGCCACTGCTTGCAGCATTTACCGTCTGAAGGGCAAATGCGGGTATGCCTTGGATCACATTTCAACCTTGCTGTTGGCAAATTAAACATTTTCCTTAATTTGTCTCTTCTGTATGTCCTAGGCAACTGCTACTGAAGTCCAGAATCTTCTGGTTTCTGGTAGGAAAAAGGAGGCTCTACAATGTGCACAAGAAGGTCAGTTGTGGGGACCTGCACTTGTCCTTGCATCGCAGCTTGGTGATCAGGTCTGTTTCATTTTAGTTCTCCATAATTTTTCTCTGCTTTTCACTTGGTTTCTGACATGCTGTGTGGTGGCTTGTTACCGATACAGTTCTATGTCGATACTGTGAAGCAAATGGCACTTCGCCAACTAGTAGCAGGATCACCTTTGCGGACATTATGCTTGCTAATTGCAGGGCAACCAGCAGATGTGTTTTCCACAGACAATACTTCTGATAGCAGTTTTCCTGGGCCTATGAATGTTTCTCAACAGCAAGCACAGGTGATATGTTGAACAATATAACCATGCTGGAGAAGGTTATTGCTAGATTAGATTTAGTCATCTCACTCCTGATCAACATTCCAGCTACTGATTTGACATTCTTTTATGTTTTATTACATATCATGAAATAGTTGGGATTTTTCATTAAGAATTTTGTATTACCATAATATAATTGAGAGATTGGGTCCCTGTTGGAGGGTAACAACTGCACTGGGATAATTGCATACCAAGTACAACATAAAACTGAAGAATATTACCTTTCAAGTGTCTTAATCTCGATACTGGTTCTATATTATTTAGTTTTTCCCCCAAGGAGAATTAATAACCTTGTGTTCTATTAATCTGATCTTGAGAATATGGCTAAGGTTCAGCTGCTGTACTGCTGTTATTCTTTTATTTTGTTTAAAAAAAGTTTACATGGAATATGGAAATCTCAATGGCTGTTCCTCCCTTTGGTTACAGTTTGGGACTACTGGCATGCTTGATGATTGGGAAGAGAATTTGGCTGTTATAACTGCCAACAGAACAAAAGATGATGAACTTGTGATTATCCATCTTGGAGATTGTCTGTTGAAGGAAAGAAGTGAGGTAACTTAAGATATTTTGCTTTTGGTTCTATTATACCTTTTTTAATGACCTTATTCTTAAAAATTTACGTAAGATCTGTTATTCAGATATCTGCAGCCCATATTTGCTATTTAGTTGCAGAAGCAAACTTTGAGGCATATTCAGATAGTGCAAGACTGTGTCTTATTGGAGCAGATCACTGGAAATCTCCCCGAACATATGCTAGTCCTGAGGCCATCCAGGTTCTCTTTTAAATTGTTTTTTCTATTCCCTATTAGAGTCAAGTATTTTGGTCTTCCTGGAATATGGTTTTAAGTAATTTTCACCTTAATATATTATTATGTGTTTGCTTGTTTATATTAAAAAAATGTATATTATCATGTGTTTGCAAGTGGTGCTTATTCCAAAAAATAAGAATTTCTATAAAAATAATAAACATATACATGTATTATGAAAATTTCATGATATTATTTTATTTCTATATTATTAATTGAAGAGGTTGTTAATTTTAACAGGATGTTCATAAGGTAATTAGGTAAATTTGCTAGAGAAAAAATAGAGACCTAGCAGTTAAAAGATGACCTTTATTTCTATCTTCTTAAAGTCATTTAAGAACCTAAAACATGCCACCCTACTTACCAAATTCGAACATTGGATTAGGGTCTTAAGCTATTTATAAATGAGAAATAAGCAATTCCAAACACTCCTATAGATTATATTGTGTGTATGTGTATATATTTATCTGTATATATTTGAGCTTATCTTCTCTGTCTGTCGAAAACAAACCACTATACAATGTTGTGCATAATGAAGTTAGCCATGGGATTTTCATTTAGCTCTTTATAATATTCATTCATCCGCACC